ATTCAGGGCGACGCCCGTGCCCCCCCGCCCCCTCAGACTCGACCTACTAATGAGAGCGGCCGGCTCATCGTCTCACAAGAATAGAGGAACTTGCGCCCACTCCCACACGCGTCCTTGTTGAGGAAGCCGGAGCCGAACGCGGCCGCCATCAAGCCGACGCCGACCACCGCAGGGTCGCCAAACGTCTGCTTGAGCGGCGGCCAAGAGAGGGTGCCCCAAAGGAGCACGGCCACCGCCACCGCGCCGAGGGAGAACTTCTTCGTGCGCGTGAGCGGCGTGACGCCGCACGCCACCCTCGGCAGCACCGCGCAGTCGTCGGGCCGCAGCAGCAGCAGCAGCAGCAGCCAGACGCCGAGGGTGCCGACCAACGCCACCGGCCCGGCCACAGAGCTCCAACGCCCAAACGAGACGTCGGCGCCGACGACCTGCTGCAGCGCGACGAGCGCGATCGCGTTCTGCGGCGACGCGATCGGCGTGATCATCCCGCCGAGGTTGCACGAGAAGGCGAGGCCGAGCAGCAGCGCGCGCGAGAAGCGCGAGTCGGAGGGCAGCTCCTAATTAATGTTAATTAGTGTTGATTAATGTTAATTAATGACGAGTCGGAGGGCAGCTCCTAATTACTGTTAATTAAGCTTAATTAGTGTTAATTAATGACGAGTCGGAGGGCAGCTCCTACGCCCCCAACATCCCGAGCTCAAACACTGGCGTCTCCGGTCAGAGCGTGACTGAGGGGTGCACTCTGCGGTACACTCTGCTGGGCCAAGGGTACGCTAGGTTGATCGGTGACTGCTGACGGACAAGACAGCATGAGTGGACCGTCGGGTGTCGCTCCCGGATGCGTCAAAACTGGGGTCTATCAGGAGAACGGTGGCGTTGGGCCAGCGCTAGTGGGGTCAGCTAAAAGGCGAGGATGGTTGCTCCTGCAGCAGCGGCTGCACGACGGCGAGCAGGAGGACCGGCGCCGTCACGTTCGAGATTGCGGCCGAGAGGAGGAGGCCGAGCATCATCACCTAGTTGATCCATGGGATCCTCTTGGGTGGGTTCGGGTACTGTGAGGGTAGGGGATGGGTCCGCATCATCACCGCGAGGAGGAAGAGGCGCGGCTGCTTGCCGAGCCTCTCCTGCAGCGCCGCCGCGAGGCGCAGCTCGAGCTGGAGGCGGAAGAACCACTCGTGAGGAGGAGTCCGTGGGTCAACTGGGCGGGCACCCATCCCCTACCCCCACAGTACCCGAACCCACCCAACAGGAGTCCATTGGTCAACTAGGCGGGCACCCATCCCCTACCCCCACAGTGCCCGAACCCACCCAACAGGAGTCCGTGGGTCAACTGGGCGGGCACCCATCCCCTACCCCCACAGTGCCCGAACCCACCCAACAGGATTCCATTGATCAACTAGGCGCCGACCCATCCCCTACCCCCACAGTGCCCGAACCCACCTGGCAGCGGGCGACGACCCGCGCGGCGACGAGCGACGAGAGGACGAGGA